TCCATATTTATCACAAAGGCGCTTCACTTTATCCTCGCCGAGGAGGAGACGGAGGAGGAGGAGGAGAGGAAGAAAATGGAAGAAACTCGCAACAACCCGACCAATTACAGGGACGTCCCTTGGAAAGAAAACGGCATGACGTAGAACCGGGAGCGAGGCGCAATAAATCGCGATACAGACGATTTAAATGGACGATCGTTCACCGTTACGGGAGAACTGGCTCGGGGGAAACGCGATCGTAACTCGGAATTAGGATGCCACCTTTTCTGCTTTCTCGCGTTTAAAGTATCGTCCCGGAAATCCTCGTGTTTGCCCGTGCTGCAGCCACGTCCCTGCGCGTATGCAACAAACGGCCGCCATATTTATAGCAATTTCTCGCGATAACTGGCGGCCACGTGACGCGCGAACGGGCTAACAAATGAAAATAATAACTCGGCCAACTTAACTTACGGCCGCCGATATTTCATTATCGTTTGTCGCGATTTTCTATTCCCTCCCTGATTCGAATCACGTATATCGCCATTTTAGGCGATCGAGTGAATTTATCGGCCGTCACCTTTGCTCTCAAATGAAATCGCTTAAGGAAGCGATTCTAATGAGCTCCGGTGTTGGCTATAGGGGGAAACGATGCTTTTGTCTCCCGTTTTAACTTTGTTCAAGTTAGGAATAGCTCTCTTTCTTCGAAACAAAATTTTCGTATAAGTTCGATCGATCGATGTCTAAGAATATATATAGGGGAAATGTAGGAGAAATATTACTAGGCGAAAAATGAAAACTGTTTTCTCGGAGAGTTCGTTCGAAATTGTTTCCTCGATAGGAGAATGATATATGAAATAAATTGTTGTTAGGAAACTTTTTATTAAGTCTCGCATATATGTGTAAATCTTTTTATGGTTATGTATTTATTAAGTCAAACGAAGCAACGAGTATTTGACTGAGAATCACTCGCACGACGTAATATAAAGCATAGCATGTTGCATTAATTTTATTTTATTTTACTTTATCAACTCAAATCAAACGAAAATGACAAATATTTGAATATTTGCATTGGAAACGCAGTTACGATATAATACACGTATTCCAACGATAATTTTAATTAATTTTAACGAACAATACTCTTTTCTATACTTTCGTACTTTATCGATCCAAATCAAACAAAAACTTTTTTATCGGTAACGAACAATGCTCTTTTCCATAATTACCTTTTATTTTTCCTCTCGTCTTCTTTCTCATTTTCCGCATCACACGAATCTCTTTTATACACACAGTGCTTACTTTATCGATCTAAATCGAACCAAAACGACGGATATTCGACAATATTGGAATCGTGCACTTTTTTCAATATAATTACTTTTTATTCTTTCGTATTTTATTGATTCTATCGTGTACTTTTTTCCATACAATTACCTTTTATTTTTCCTTTCGTATTTTATCGATCGAACGAAAGCGACGAATTATTCGACAATATTGGAATCGTGTACCTTTTTCCATATAATTACCTTTTATTCTTTCTTTCGTGCTTTATCGATCCTATCGTGTACTTTTTTCCATACAATTTTCTTTCGTACGATCCAAATCAAAGGAAAACGACGAATATTCGATAATATTCGAATCGTATACCTTTTTCCATATAATTACCTTTTATTTTTTTTTTTTTTTTCGTATTTTATCGATCCAAGTCGAATATTTAACAATATTAGAATCGTGTATCTTTTTCTATATTACCTTTTATTCTCCCTTTCGTACTTTATCAATTCAAATCAAAGAAAAACGACAAATATTCGATAATATTGGAATCGTATACTTTTTCCATATAATTACTTTTTATTTTTCCTTTCGATCCAAATCGAATGAAAACGACGAATATTCGACAATATTAGAATCGTGTACCTTTTTCCATATTACCTTTTATTTTTTCTTTCGTACCTTATCGATCCAAAACAACGAATATTCGACAATATTAGAATCGTGTACCTTTTTCCATATCATTTATTTTATTTTTTTCTTTCGTATTTTATCGATCCAAATCGATCGAAAACGACGAATTATTCGACAATAGCATTAGAATCGTTCCATTATTCTTTTTCCATTATCCTTCCTTCGTATTTTATCGATCCAAGTCGAATGAAAATGACGAATATTGGATACCTTTTTCCATATAATTACCTTTTATTTCTTTTTTTTTCGTATTTTATCGATTCAAATCGAACGAAAACGACGAATTATTCGACAATATTGGAATCGTCTTTTTCCATATAATTACCTTTTATTACCAAATCGATCGAAAACGACGAATTATTCGACAATAGCATTGGAATCGCGCACCTTTTTCCATAACAATTATTCTACCTTTCGTACTTTATCGATCCAAATCGATCGAAAACGACGAATTATTCGACAATAGCATTGGAATCGCGCGCAATAGAACACTCTTATTCCAACTTTGCCCAT